GCAGTCGAAACTGGGCTATCATGCGGGCACAGCCCCGTAAACACACCTCCGGCATCTGCAAGGCCATGTCATCTGCATCTCAGAGCCTCCAGCACGGTATTCCTGCCAGCATGAGCTCATGTCCGAACACCAGGCCCGGTTCAGAAGGCTATCATTCTTCTTACTAGGTATCACAATGATTCCTATCACTCTTGTTGTCTGTGTTGGTCTGGAATGAACCAGCTGCTTTAGCTTACGCAAGGCAATGCCAAGCTTCGGTTACAGCTCAAGGAACAGGCTCTGCGACCCCCTAACGAACGCGGGCGACTAGCTGTCAACAGATCACAGCTGAGCCCTCCAGAAGTCAGGGGCATACTTTAGGAGGACCCCCCCACCCTGTAAGTGGTATAGTAGGAAAATAGTAGGACCCTAATATAATCCATATTTATCCCTTTTAATCACTATGACGGGGTGGGGGGATCCCTCCAAAGGGATGCTACACATCCAAGAGGTTGCAACTGCTTGCCACTCAGGCAATTCAAGCTCAACTTTGCCGACAGGAGCCATGGTCAAGACCTCCTGGTGGACCACAACATGCCCCCAAAAAGTCTATATGAAGTGCTCAAATGCTTCATCAAAAGGCAAGTCGTATGCTCACCGACACCCCTCGCCCAGGCTGCACATGAAGAGGCCCTCCAGGAATGTGGAAATACATGGACCCACATGATGGGAGCAGCAGATTATTCAGACGAAAATGACCACACAAAGTCAGGGAATGGATCACCTGCTTCAGCTTTTCTAGGTGTCAATGTTACCAGATCTTGCCAATACCGAATCTTGAAACATCTTTAACATTACCAGTAGTATTACCCTACTTTTACTATCATTACTACTATGATTCTCACTATCATTGCTGATGCTCTTGTTACTTGCAATGGCTCCTCTGCAAAGCCCCCGCAATGTAAGCCATGCCCACATCGCCAATCGAGCCCGAAGCCTCGGCGGTCAAAGTACAAAGTCATTCTGAGCAGATAACATTAATAGCAATAACAAAGTGACATTATGGTAATAAGTAATAACAACAATAATAACAGCAATAGTAATATGAAAAGAATCGCAGTAATCGTAATAAAAATGATAGTGGCTGATAGCAATTAGAATAAGACACACGTACTGCACTACCACCAGTATATGACCCTGCCACAGGACAGAAGACATTGTCTTTCTGTGGCGCACTTTTTCATATGTCAGAAAACATCGAGAACTGTGGGCAATGGCAAGTCTCCCATGAGCTGTATAATGCCGAAACTCAAGCCACTCCAGCTCCAAGGCCCACGCCCAAGAACATACCATGTCTTGTGAGAGACATACCAATGAAATCGAAAGAAGATCTACAACCACCGCTGTCAAATCAGCTTTGTGACATGAGCCTTAAACCGGGCAGCCAAGTCCAGCTCCCGAAGAGAGCCGTGGGTGAGAAGAGCGCGGGAGAGCCTGCGACCGAGGGCTGACAGGTGTGAGGATTGCATGAAGGCTGTGAAACCGGAGTCAAGCAGGAAGTGAATACATTGAGAGCAGTGCCGAGGTGGAACACTGAAGAAGTATTTTTCCTCCTTCTGGTCATGAAATAGCTCCCAACAGCTTCGACTTAGAAATCTGCCGGAATATGAGATTCACAAGGCGAGGAGTCACATACTCTTGAAACTAACACAACCGCCGCCACCACCGCCACCACCAACAGCACCACCGCCGCGCACCGACACTGTCGCCGCCGCAACCTTGACGACTAGTACTGCCGGTGATGATACTTCCAAGTGTGTCGTATCTGCACGTAACGTCCATAACGGCCCAGGAGGTTCGGCCTCTGAGCACCTTTCTTGTCCAGTTGCTCACCCTCCAGCGCCAGGCTCTGCAGATCGGGGTCCGTCGAGAGCTTGCCAGCAGCCATGGGGTCAGACGGGATGTTCTAGAAATCGTGCGTACAGTTTCGGGGCTTAAGAGGTGAAGTTAATGACACAGGCTTTGGGTTTGGGGCTGCGAGATTTCCTAGGCATGGCGGTTTAGGGCTTGACGTTCTGAACACAAAAGCTTATGCTTCAGGGCTTGAGCCTGACGACTATCCAGGAGTTTCTGGAGATTCGCATTGGAACTCCATTTAATGTTTGGCGAATGCTTCTTTTTCAACACAGTATGGTTGAGCACATGCCGAGGCCCTAATGAGACTCAGAATGACTTTGGTTGCAGCTCCTTTCAAGGGACAATGGTAAAATACTGGGACGACCATACACGCTTGGCGCCGCCAGCTGAGACATGATAGCAAGTCTTCAAGTGGTCTGCATTTCGACTGGAAGTGGGTTTGCTACGAAACCCTGGGCAACATCCTTTAGCATGTGTGGCCCAAGCTGTGATTCTTTTCTCCGCTGCCTATTGAGATGGGAAAATCTACGTGGTCTTTCTGCTTCCTGCCTTCTGGCAAGCAAGTGAGCCGGTCAGGATAAAGACCCAAATCTTGTGTCGAATGCTTAGCTAGCTCATGGACTCAAGGCCTTGTGCTTGTCAGGAGCACCTTCAGATCTTGCCCTTCTGACGCTTCAGGTCTGCGAGGGCCTTCCACTATCACGAAGCGGATGGAGCAAAAGGAGGGTTGTGTCCTTGAAGAACAGCTTGGACAGCCTTTGCTAGCTTAAGTCCATCTCGAGACCTTGTTGCATACATGCTCTACTGAGCTCACAGCAAAGGACCCAACAAGTCGAGTTCGGTGCAGCGTACTTGAGAGACAAGGCATACTGGTTCAAAACTGTGGTCTTCTGCTTTCCTAATTTCCCCCGCTCGACCCTCACTACCTCCAACCATCTGTCAAGTCGCCGCCGTGGAACCTGGATCTGACAATGTCCAACACTATGATAACTCTGTCAAACTCCAGCTTGAAACTCTCACTGAAAGCCGAGATGCCTGAATCCACCAGCCCGTTTAAGAAAAATAAAACAGAAGCTCAGACTTTCGTGTTCAACAAAAACCCTGCGAGCTTCCAAACGTTGCAACACCTCCAGTCTCAATGGCCTACCCTTAATCGGCCACCACCACGGAAAAGCAACTCAGCGAAACCCGGAGCGGAAGTGTTCCTTGGAAAGCCTTATCACCAAGAATGCCTTGAACCCTGAACCAATCAACCCAAAAGCTGAACCCGCCTGAAACCCCAAACCCCAAACCTTGATCTTAGGTGGACCCCCCCACCGTGCAATAGTGGCATAGTAGGAATACGAGGAGGGCCCGAAAATAATCTCCATTATCCCTTATGGTGACTGATACAGGGTGGAGGATCCACATGACCTTGATCCCTCCCTAAATCCTGAACCCTCAAACCCTAGACTATAGGGATATATAGGGGTATTTAGGGATATATAGGGGTTATATAGGGGTATATAGGGGTTATATCGGGGTTTATATCCTCAAACCCCGAACTCGGAAGCCCTGCCTTGTCAGGATCAAAACTCGGGGCACGCGCCCCGGCTGTGGCTCCAGAAAGGGGTGGCCTGCAATTACTTGGGGAGTTAGGGGACTTAGTAAAAATAGGCCAATAATGGAAAAGAAAATGGAAGCTACTATCTAGGGTTTAGGGTCTAGGGTTGGAGTATCAACCCCGATGAGCAATGCAGTAACTCCACCTATCTTCATAATTGATATACTTACTAAAAATCCCCATGACTCGCCCATGACCCTCCAAGTAGGTGGTTGTAAACCAAGCGAGGCAATGGCAATGACACAAAGATTCGAGGCCCAGAGTTAAATCGATCCGATCTAGCCTGCAGCTGCAGGAACTCCAAATATTCTCAAAGAGGGCTATGGACTTCACAATTTCTGCTGGATAGTCTTGAAAATTCAGTTCTAGGACCTGAAGGCGTATGCCGCAGGATCTAACCAGCTGTACAACTTAAGGCATCGGCTTGGGTACTGCGAGCTAAGGTCGGTACATGAGGTTCGGGGCTTGGGTGCATTGGCATCCTTCTGCGCAAGTCTGGCAATCCCAGTAAGCCATACCAACTCGTGGGAGTCGAACATCAACTCTCAGACTCAGGGGTCCAGGTACAGTAAGGTAAGGCCAAGAGAACCCCAGCAGCAATAGTAACAAGCGTTACCGTCATGATAGCAAGGCTAAACAAACACTTGACGGCAATCCCAAGGGTAATAATCATGTGTGAATATCTGTAGAGTCGCTTCCCCGCAGCAGCGCTGCCGGCGGTACCCCCAGTGCCCGCGCCCGTGGAACCCTGTTTGGCCTTGGTAAAAAACAGGTTCTGGGCTTCTGAGGCTGTGGGTTTTATGGTATGGCTGCGTCCGAACATAATTTGGCAAGCGAGCAAAACACGTACCGTACCTGATGTTCATGAGCATACAAACTTGCAACGCAATACAAGGAAGTCTGAATGTAGGAATTCATTCGGGAAGGATCCCTTTCCCCTACGCATGGAAAGTCCAATTTCTGGCCGTTTGGAGACTCCGCGTCTATGCCAAGATCCTGGGATGAGGCCCAGAACCCCCTTACATAAACTGGAACAAGCCACGAAATCACAAAGAGAGAGAGAGAGAGGTCCCACTTCAGGGCATGATATTTTGATGATATCGGCGTCCCAGTCACTTCCTTCTTCCGCCGGACTTCAAAGACAACCTGCCATAAGCATGGAGCACGTGAGAGCAGACCAGTAGCGAAGCTGACAATAATAGATCCAGCTTGGAAACACTTTGCTACCATTTAGTACTACTGTACTGTTATTACGATTGCTATGAATAGCAGCTATGCCGACTACTCCGCATCCAATGATGTGCAGATATGTGCAGCACTCGCATTTGTCCAGCGATTCTGCTGATTTTGCGTTTATTACAAGCACGCTGCTTTGTGCAGCCAGCTGACACTGATGCCGGATCAAAAGCTTGAAAGTCGGATCACGGATGTAATGTAATATTAAAGCAATGAGATGCTCGGCTGTTGCGAGCGCTTGCTTAAAACCGCGCCCTTTTATAGCTCAGACGGTGACAATGCCAGCATCAAGGAAAGATTGCGGCTCGCTCTCGGGTGCCAGGCACTTGTCCCAGGCAGAATTTGCGAACACCTTCGGCGAGATGGTTTGAACGGCTGCGATCAGCAGGGGCTTGGCAGTCTGGCTGTTGGCCTCGGTCACAAGGGGAGAGGCTCGCGTGCAGCTGCAGCAGAGGCTTCACTGCTCGGCTGGGTTCATGAAACCATACAGGTTCCTCTGGCAATTACAAGACCCGTTAGTTCCGGAAAATGCAAATTCTGGGAAACACTCAACCACACGTAACACCAGCGCTTGTGCCACATGGTCTCCATTGACCTGCTAGCTTTTTCCCTTCAAGAAAACGGGGGGACTCAATTGAGAAAAAAGAAGATGAACTGAGTGGCCTTGCGGAGCACCGCTGTCAGAGCCGCATCCTCGACCTGCTCCAACAAGGTCTTTGGTGGTGCGGGGCTGTAGAACTCCTTCGAGTCCACGAAGGGTCCAAATGTGCGGCTTTGCTCAATCGCCACCTCGCACGCCTCTACCCGATCGAGACCACGGTCCGGATTGAACAGCTCCTTGTTCATGGATTCCAGAGTCTCCTGCAAAGACTTCAATAGCTTTGCGTACTTGGGATCATGTGCGAGGTCGATGTGCTCGGTCGGATCATCCTCGACGTTCACCAGGCAACCTGCCCCACAGTCAATGACCCACGTCTGCCTGTCAACTTCCGCCGGCGTCTCCGCTACTGGCAGTGGCTCACCAAAAACCTTCATATCTTGCTGTGGAGGCAACGGTCCATTGCGATCCTCAAGAGAATGTACGGTGGAGCAGTTAGGATACAATGGTCCTTGCCAGGCACTCATTGCCTGCTTGCCTGTCACCAGCTTGTATGGCCATTGCAGCACCGCCTGGGAGCTAAGATGCATCGGGCCTGTGCGAGCAGGCGCGTTGCTGATGATGGCCTGCCACTGCGGGATGCTGTCCACTGGATGCAGCAATGGCAAGCCCTTCTCCTTCAGGAAGGCGTTCGCCTTCTCAGACTTGCGATCCACCATTTCGACCCCCGCCAACTCCGTCAGCGTTCCATACCAATCAGCCGCATTGATGATTCCATCATACTTGGCCCCACGCCTCTGCGCTGGCACAAAGCCGCCGGAAACCCAAGCGTTGGTGCGAACACCGCCTTCCCAGTCGGTGTACTTACCACCTCTCAGTGGGTAATTTGAAGCAGCACCTGGTTCGTAGATGGGGCCGCCATTGTCGGAGGTGAAGATGATCAGTGTGTTATCATACATCTTCTTCTCTTTCAGCGCATTCACGGCCTCGCCGATGGCAGCATCCATGTAAAGCGTCATCGCCGCGTAGAGGCGCCTGTTGTCGCTGTCAATGGGCTTGCCCCCTGCCGCAGCCACCAGCTTGTCCAGCTTCTCAAGCCAAGCTTTTGGGACCTGCAAAGGTGTGTGGAGGAGGTGGAAGGAGTAGAAGAGGAAAAGCGGATTCTCGGGCTTTGCGGTATCGTGATCCCGGATGATCTTCAACACTCGCTCCTTGAAGAGGTGCTCTTCATAGCAGCCCGGATCCGACTCCTCATCTTCCTGGCAGGCGGCGGAAAGCGAGATCGCATCCCGCACAGGGCCCGAGTACGTCTCGTTGTGCATGGACAAATCCTTCATGCGGTTCAAGCAGGCATCAATCTCACCAGTGGCCAGGAAAACGGTACTCTTGTGCCAATAGTCGTTGGCGTGCTGGTAGTAGCCATACCAAGTTTCGTACCCTCGACCCTTGGGCGAGTGCTCAGGCGTGGCCATGCCTGCATCCCACTTCCCGACAATGTGAGTCCTGTAGCCTCCATCCCGCAACTTCTCGGCGATGCCTGTCATGTTCCTGGGGATGCCGGCATAGCCACTCACGGGATCGTTGTAGTTGCGGGAAGTAACCGCTGAGTTCACAGGATTCACATGCACTGCGAGGCGGCCAGACTGGATAGAAGAACGTGTTGGCGAACAAATCTTGTAGGTGTAGTGATGCTCTAGCAAAATGCCCTCATCAATCAGCGCATCGATATTCGGAGTATGCACCTCGGCCTTGCCCTGCTTCTCCTCAGGTGTCGAACCAGCACCCCTCCGGTGTACACCCATGTTGCCCCAGCCGTAGTCATCCGCTAGGATGAACAGCACATGAGGCTTGGCCTGGGCCACCAGTGGCCCCAAAGCCAGGAGCGGCAACGTGAGGAAAGCCATGGCTGGTGGAAATCACCCGAAAGCAGCTTGAGCCGCCAGCTACTGCAACTACTGTCATGGTGTTCTGCTTCTGACTGTGGCTCCTATAACTCTTAGCGAGATTGCCTTGTTTCTGACGAGTGCCCGCCATGTCAATGGTTTTTGAGGTCATGGCCGTCTGATAATGAAAATGAGTCCAATTGATGTGATGTTGTCGAAGATGTTGCACAGATTGTGATGAAGAAGGTGATGGCAATGCTCGTGCTGCTACTGATGATGATGATGATGATGATGATCATGATGATGATGATGATGGTGATGAGGATTATGACCATGACAACGATGCCAATCACATCGACAATGGCGAAGAAGGCGATGATGATAACGCTGATGCAGGCTATGAGAAACATGGAGCTGAGGAAAAATGAAGAGAAATATTGATCTGAGCTTGATGATGGTGATACTGCCAGGAGTACAGCGGCTAAACTGATGACGGCGATCATCATGATGATGACGACTACATGCCTTATGGCTTTCATGTTTCATCCCATAACCCCTATACAATTCTATATAACCCTATACCTCCTGTAGTTTCCAATTTATTTTCCATTATCCCAATATAACCCCAATATACCATGATGAATATGAGGAATGAGATGCTAGTTCTTGTTTCGAGCAAAACTGTATCACTACAATTGACATCACCACACATGATGGCAACGACTACAACAGCTTCTGCTTCTACCACCGCCACTACAAAACGCGCGGTCTTTCCAGTATCCGTTTCCTTTTCCATGTTCTTTTCCATTGCCATTTGATTCTCCATTTCTGGGGGAATATCCCTAAACTCCTATAAAATATCTATATATATATATATAGAATCCCATAATCCCTATATTCCCTATATAAGAAGCCCTGTAAATGCATTGCCAGCCTTCTGCAGGTACTCCACCCGCTCGGCGAGGCTGAGGAGGCGCCGACGGATGGTCTTCCGTGCCTCGAAGAGGCGAGGGATAAGTACATAGGGATGGATTATATTGGGGTTCTATATATATATATATTTAATATGCTCACCCCCCCCCCAAGAACTACCTTTTGGGCTAAAGAATGCTTAAGTCGTATTAGTTTGAACATTGGTAATAGCACTATCATTAATACTCGTCTTGGTATCATTGTAATCATGACTAAATTTGTAGTACCGAAGTCAATATGAATATGAGAAGAAGTAGTAGTAGTAGTAGTAGTAGTATTATGAATACTAGTTCCAATATGCATATTGATATTCATACTAAGATTAATGCTGGTATCAGTAATGCCAGTATGAAGTATTAACACAAGTACTAGTATTCTTCTTTGTATTTGTAATATGATTAATACGAGCATTCGTATCGTCATTAAGCTTGTATAATGAACAGTATTCTTACTGCTGATATTCATGTCAAGTATGAATGGTACTCGTAATTTCTGTAGTGATGGTAATATCAGCATTGTTAGTATGAATAAGCATTATTAACATGTATGATTTTCGTAGTATTAATATTAGTATGTGTATTTGTATTAGTATGAGTATTCTGATTTAAAGCATTTCTATGACTAGTAGTATCGCTGGCATTAAAATATTCATTCTTAATGGTAGGGGTACTGAGATTTACGAAATGACCTCCCATATTTTTTTTTTCGTAGTAATGTCAAGTGCACATACATAATCATACAAATAGTTCACGTACATAATCATACAAATATGGGTCCTGTACTTGTTGTTGAATTAGTAGTAGTAGTAGTAGTAGTAGTATTATAAGTATGCGTATTTTGTATTAGTATGAGTATTATGATTTGAAGCATTTCTATGACTAACAGTATTGGTGGCATTAATATATTCATTCTTCATAATATAGGTAATGTTATTTACTAAATGAACACCTATATTAGTATTTTTGTTTGTAGTAATGTCAATTGCTAATACATAATCATACAAATGCGAGTCCTGTACTTATGTCAGTATTAGTATCAAACATCAGAAATTCAGTAATAAACATGTGAATACTAATCATAGTATTGGATAAATTCTCTTATCCATAATGGAAACAATATAAGTATGAATACAAGAAGTATTCGTATGAAATTCAGTATGGATACTTATAACATTAGCCGTGTTAGTACCAGATGTTCATAACGACATTAAACTCTATCTTCGAAACATATGGTAGCAAATATATGTATCGTAGCTAGGAGAAGTATGAGAACGAATATTAATGTCATTTTTAGTTTGTAGCAAAACGCATTGGTATAGCAGCACAAGTAATGCCAGTATGAATATGCCAATAAGTATGTTTGTTAACACTAGTTCTAGCATTACTACGAATATAGATATTAGCGTCAATGTTCTGTTTGGTATTCATGTTCGTCTGAACCTGGGTATTAGTACCAATACTGGTACTAAAATTGATAGAAAGAAAAGTATATGTAAGAGAAATTAAGTTCAGCAGCATTAGGAATAGCAATTTCAATACTGGTCGTCTCATGAAAATTGCTATTGCTTCTTGTTACTATATGAATACAAATATCACCATTTAGATACAAACTAAAATGAGCAACAGTACGAATATTTGTATTAGTGTTTATATCAGTATCACGCATTCATAGTATCAATAATATGTAGTATAAATAATACTAGCATTAGCATTGGTATCAATACTGTTTTTTAAAGCCGAATATCAATATCAAATATGACTAGTTTGAGTTTTAATTTGAGGATGAATATTAGCATTCGCATTTCTACTAGAGTATTAATATTGGTGTAAGCACATTCTTGGTTTTAGTAGTAGTAAGTAAGTATTTGTATTCAATCTAATGATAGTGTTCGTAATATTGCCAATATCTATATATTCTGCTCAGGTTACATTTTTGGGGAAGAGGGCTACTATCACGATAGCACATTTGTTTAGAGAAAGTTGCCATTCAAAAAGTTTAATACCGAAACCGAACGGAAAGCCAAGACCCAAAAAAGCAACGAACAAAAAGAAAAAAATCAAAAAAATCAAAAATCCAAAAATTCAAAACCCAAAAATCCAAACATCCAACACTTTTGAAGAGAATTGGGCTCCAGCCAAAAATTGTGGATTTTTGAATTTTTGGATTTTGGCGTACCATATAATATCAACCAAGTGCAATATATTAACTGTTCTTACAGTACTAGTACAGTACTAGGCTTGATATGCCAAACCAAAACCCAAAAAGCTAAAATTCCACAAACCAACACTCCGATAAAACAAAAATCCAAAACTTTTGACTGGAGCCCAATTATCCTCAAAAGTGTTGACTTCTTGGACTTTTGGATTTTTGGGTTTCTTTGATTTTTTGAGTTCTGGTTTTTGATTTGTTGTGTGCTTGGATTTTGGATTTTTGATTTTGATAAAATTTAGAGCTAATCCAACAGTATCTTAAAATAGCATCAAAATCCGATATTGCAAAAATGCTAAGAAAAACACAGCTATTTACTGTATTTTCATGCTCTGGGTAGTTCTTGGGGGGGAAGGGGGTACCATATATATATATATGTGTATATATATATATGGTACCCCCTATATACATATATATATATATAGATTTGTAGGGCAAGAAATAGGAGCCAGCAAAAGGAGAACCTCGAATTTAGGATTTAGGCTGTAAGGAAGGAATCTCTAGGTATGATGTCTGCGAACCATCAACCACGTTCAGCTGTGTTGATCATAGGAGAGCATTAGTAAAAGGAATGCTTTAAGCCTGTATAGCCGGCACAAATTCGAAACCACCAAAGTCATCCCGCGTAGCTA